TTTTGACCCGTTTTTCTGAGCTATCCGGCCTGTTTGCCACCACAGGAAAGCACTTTTAGACATTTTGGAGGCTTATTAGTGGATTTGGTGTCTTCAGGGAGCAGCAAAAACTTTGTGTGACTCTTGTGTTTTACTGGAATAAGCCTTATCTAAGTGTGTTTTATACATGTTTGTATTCTGTGTGATGGTGTTTGATGTAAAACCGTTTTCTGGTGCAGATTTAAGCTCTTTCGTCTCCTCACTGGATGTTTTTCTTTTGTTTTTTATGAGCTTAAAAGACATTTACATCCTGTCGGGATGTTTTTCATGAACAAAATACATTTTTATGTCATTTAAAGTTTTTTTTCCGATCTTTTTGAACAAAAACAGAACAGATGTGAGCTAGTTTTCTTTAAAAAAAGGCTCAAAGAAAACACTTTTTCTCCATTTATGGAAACTAACTGTCTGAAATAGGAGTTTATGTGTTCATTCTAACATCAGTTGAACTTATTTATGACTTTTTGTGCGAAAATAAAAGAGCGGGTGGCTTTTCCTGATCTCTGCTAGCTGGAAACTTTCCATCAAGGTGACGTAAAAGGTGGATTTTTTTTTTATCTCTATATTTTTAACTCACTTTAATGTTGTTGGGAGGTGTCAGAGCACAAAGAGAAATCCAGATTTTGCTCTAAATACATCATTTAAGTACTTTGATTTAAACATAAAGACACGAGATTTGTATTATTTTTGGCTCAATGGTTTGGAAACATAGTCTGTTTAATATTTTTGGCCACTGTTTAAACTTATTTGTGAAGGAAAATCTGTGCATCCACATTATCTTTTAGTGTCTTTATTATTATTGTAAATGCACCCAAACTGTCTCTTTAGTTACCTCAAACTCAAAATAGAGCAAATTGTCCTTATGATAGTTTACAGGACTATACGACTACTTTAGCTAACAGTAAAATAATAATAATAAATGAATGAATTAAACTAGTTACAGTTAATCTGTATACTCAAGTTTTTTTGTTTTTCATCCTTTCATGGCCAGATCTTTTTTCTCTTTTTCTCAGTTTTGTTTTTATTTTTGTGTTTGTTTTTGGTTAAAAGTGTGCACTTTTCTGTAAACTTGATGCCAGTTGCTATTTTAATACCATGTTGCCTCATTAAGACTTATTTAAGAATTTCTCGACTTCCATTGACACCCTCATTTTGTCTATGACAGCATTTTGTTTTTTAGGATTCAAGTGTTTTATAAAATGTGTCATGCAAATAGGTGTCAAGTTCTGAAATGATTTTAAGTTCAAATGTAAAGTGCATTTTTAAAGTAAAATCTGTTATATAAAGACTGATGTTTTGCTCTTTTATCCACTTTTTATCCACTTTATCATAGCTTGTTTTATCTGCTTTAATTGTGGATTCTTTCTCTCTGGTTTCAGGTAATTATTATTATATTATATTATATTTTATTATATTTTATTATATTATATTATATTATATTATATTATATTATATTATATTATA